TCAATTGTGCTTCGTTCAGTTGCATCCAACACTTTGCATTTATTAGCTTTATCTTTACTTTATGACTTCAGGTTAAACCAAAATTATGTACACTAATCAAAGACCGATAAAATTACAATAATCTGATGAGTTTGTTCTAAAATCCTAACGAGGTCATCAGGATTCGCGATTACTCGTTCTGCATTCGCTGAAAAAATGTTCATATTATACAAGGTATAAAATAGTGTGTACCAAACTTTAGTGGGTGATTCTACAGATAAAAATACCTTTCCAGTCGATTCATTCGTTTATAAAATACGTCTCGGTTTTTCGTCACTACAAAAATATCTAGAAATTAATATAGTTACAAGGGATAACCGCCAAAAAATGCTTTTTTTTCAAGCGTCAAAAGTGTCAATTTTTGCGACGTAACTGACAATATAAAAAAGTCATTTTAACGCCCAGGCATAAAAGTATGAAAATATATTATCAAACTGACATAGTGTCAAATTCAACGAGAGCATCCATAGTTTCTCGATATGTAGTTACTTAGTTACTTACAAGGTATCAGTTTTAAATATTTTTATATTATTTGGAACGTTTAAAAATGATTTGAGACGTTTTAAATAAAAATAGCATGTTCTATTTGGAGTAAAAATTACTTTTTATGCGTCGCCTGTAATGTCAAACGTTTGTCACAAAAAGTATCATTTTTACTCCTAATAAAGCAATATACTACTTTGTTCGTTAGGCAAATTTGTTTCATTAGTAAAATATAGCTGAACAAATTGGTCTCCGTTGGATCAACGTAGCGGTTTTAACAAAAAAAAAACTAATTTATCTTGTAGATTTTCTTCTAGTGGCGAAAAAACGTCTTTTTTTGAAGATACAGATAAAAATAAAAGAAAAAGTTCCTATAAACATATGCCCTGAGGAAGTTACAACTCTTGAGAGGATAGATAAAAATAATATATTTAGATTCTTTTTAAAAACACTGGTAAACAAACCATTTTCCTCCAAGTTTCGTACTCCTGCACACAACTTAATGTCAAAGGAATGGCGAATGGCGATACTGCAAAAATCCGTAACTGTTCAGAAACGGTAATTTTGATTTGGATGTAATTTAAACATATGACATCAGAAACTTTTTTTATGTAACAAAGATACTTTTGGTGAAGTTCGAAACCCTGAACAGGTTTCAAGATACATAGGTTTACGATTTTAGTATTAGCGAAATTATTAGATTTTTTGATAGGCAACTAGTAGGAACTTAAATGAAGTATAAGAAGATCAGTCAAAACAATTAACAATATAGATAAGTTCTATAAATTTTCAAGATATATTTCTAGTGAGTGCTGTTAGAGCTTAGGGAATATGTTCACAGGAACTTTTTTTTATTTATATGTGTAGTACCACCTAATTAAAGTTTGGTGAACTAAACTGCCCGTCAAATTAAATACCACAGCGATTTTTTACTCATTTTCAACAAGTTGTAACTTTGAAAAAATGGACCAATTTTTGTTGATTTTTTTAGCATATTAAAGATCGGTTTTCATAAATTGATCTGATTTTTCTAAATTTTGTATGAGATTTAGTTTTCTATGATATACAGGGTGTGAAAAAAAGGAATGTAATTTTTGTGTTGGTGCCATTTTGCCAAAAAACAAAATTTAACTAGAATTATAAGTTCTGGGTATAACTAAGACTAATATCTCGGGACGTATTTGGAATTTTTACAATAACTCACCTGGAATAAAGATAATCAATTTTTTACCTAACTTGTATTTTTCTACCTTTTCTTAAGAGATATGCTAATAAAAACTGAAATTAACTTTAAAATTGTAGGATATTCGTTACTTTTTACAATGTGAAATTAAAAAAAAAATTACTAAGTTGCAGCTAAACACAGATTTTTTAGACACAAAAGAGTTTTTACAAAAATATCAAATACGTGTCGAGCTTTTATATTAACCTTATGGGCTGTTAAGTTCAGAATATTAAAAAAATAATTTTACTTTTTCGCTGGTCGTATTTTTTAATAAATCCTGTATTAAACTGCGTTAGTCAAATCATTTTTTTTTAATTTCACATTGTAAAAGTAACGAATATCCAATTTTAAAATTAATTTCAGTTTTGTTAGCATATCTCTTAAGAAAGGTGAAAAAAATACAAGTTAGAGTAAAAGTTGATTATCTTTTATTCCCGATGAGTTATCGCAAAAATTCCAAATACGTCCCGAGATATTAGTCTTAGCTATACCCAGAACTTATAATTCTAGTTAAATTTTGTTTTTTAGCAAAATGGCAGCAACACAAAAATTACATTCTTTTTTTTCACACCCTGTATATCATAGAAAACTAAATCTCATACAAAATTTAGAAAAATCAGATCAATCTACGAAAAACGATCTTTAATATGCTAAAAAAATCAACAAAATTGGTCCATTTTTTTCAAAGTTACAACTCGTTGAAAATGAGTAAAAAAATCGCTGTGGTATTTAATTTGACGGGCATTTTATTTTCTTACATGCTGCTTAGTTTACCAGTTAATACAATATAATTCTGTCTATTTAAACATTTTTTTAATAAAGTAAAATTAATTGACTAAAAGAAAAAATATATAATATACGTTTATTTCTAAAAATAATAACAACATAATAAGCGCTTTTATTTGCACGTCTCGAGCAGAAGTATTATACGTTGATCCCGAAACATTAATTCTGATGTGGTGAACATGTGCTCTAATATTCTTTGAAGAAGGGTTCTTTCACAAAATGAATGTTTTTAATACCACACAAACATCATTTTCTAAGCAATAAAAGCTTGCAAAACGTCAAGCTAATGTAATTTGTGTCGAATCTCCGGATTAAGGAATGTGCGTGCCATATTTTCTGTTTACGCCTCCTCCTATCCAGTATTATAAATTTACTTTTGGGACGTTTTTAATTTACAGGTATTATGTACGTGAAAAATGCTTTCAGTTGATCGTGTGTCATTTTTTTTGAAGTGTGTTATACCCAAAATAATCGGACTTTGAATTGGGCTTATTATTTTAGATAAAAGATTTTTTTGAACAATACAGGAATGTCTGGTTTTACGTGGTATATTTATACGCGGTTTTGTTAATTCTATATTAGATAGGAACCGTTTATATGTATATAAGTCAATACGGGAACAAATCAACAATACCATAAAGATATGTATAGTTTGTTAAGGAATGTAACCTCCGCGTAAAACGACGGACTCTTATATTTTTATTCTAAAAAATAACTATTTTGCATGTTATTTTGAGTTTTAAACCAACATATACATACACATTGTTCTCCAAAATAGATGTTTTGTTCAGAAAGGGTTTGCTTTTCCGCTTCTATACCTTAGTTTCGTCAAAGTCAAAATCTTCTCCAAGTTTACAGGCAAAATTTAATTGAGAATTCATAACTTGGGTCGTGTTCTCTGCTGCATCTGAAGTGACTTCAAAATCTCTAACTTGTACGCTTGTGTTCATTCATAATTACAGAAATACGGCATCCACATACACTTAATTTAGTAACTGATAAATATAATGATAATGTTATTATTTATTCAATGAGCAATGTCTCTATCAAAATTTCATACCTAATACCCATAAAAAAAGTATTTTTTAAAAGTTAGTTTATAAAATTCTGACGACAAATATATCTAATAACAGATATATGTATTAAAATATAAACTAATCAAATATATAATGACTTATTTGGACCCAATATATACAATCAACGCTATGTTTATTTATAGTTTAGCTACTTGCCTCATCAGATGTTTTACATACCTATTAAATGATGTAGGAAACTCCCATAGTTATTCCTGTAACAAAAATATACATTAGATGATTTTTTTGAAGATATATGTGATGTATGTCAAATATTTGAAGGATACATGGGAAAAACACCGTCATTAAATAAGCTAATTAGTATATTTGAAGGTGTAGAATCCAAATCCGATCTTATTTGTGAAAAAATCCCATTATTGCATTCGAAAGTCATATTGAATTATTTGCAATGCCGGGGAAGAATCACGTTATTATCCGCAAGATCCATTGACGCAAAATCTTCAAAAGAAGAACAAGGATAGGTGGCGCTTTCATGGATTTTTTAAAATTTTGATTTATTGTACTTTTTAAATTTCTGAGGGTTGAACTTGTAGTTAAGGTAGTCAAGGACAAAATAATCTCAAATATAAATTTCTTGGCAATGTTTCGGTCTCTGTTTACTATGTCTTCAAGGCTCTAGCAATACATAAAAAAGCGCTGTAATTTTTATTTTGGCTGTTATGACCAACAAGCAAGAGTTTTTTTACTTCTAACAGAGCACTGAAGTGGAGTAATTAGACTCCCAAATGACTCCGACAGCGTCAATCTTTCCATAAAAGCTCAATCATGGATTAAAGTTTGGTAATAGTACCATTCCGAATTACTAATACTTTTGATTTTAATTGGTAAACTTTATTTTCCTCAGAATCAACTTCTCTGCAATGACAGTGACAGGAAATTGTGGTTTAAATTTGTACTAAAATATCTCGGTAAAACGAAACTCTACTTGAAATCAACACTTACAATGCTATTAGGTGTGAAAATGTACTATTAGTTCTCTTCTAGTTTAGTGAATATCCAAGAATATTGATCTGAGCAGTCATTGTAAAATTATACTGTTTGAAATTGGACCGCTTGAAAGTGTTAAATCATGAGAAAAATTTTAATGTCAAATTTCAGCAGCAATTGCATCGCTCAAATGCATCTACAGAGGATTAATCAATTTCATTTGGAAAATGGACGTAGCTGGAAAATTATAATCTTGGGAGTTGGAACGAAGAGAATTTCTGACGGAAAATTCGGTTATTTTAACAGTTTTTGCGGTCACACGATTGGTTTAGAGAAAAAAAAATAAGTTCTATTTTCACATAACAAATCTGGAAGTGTGAGATTATAAGGGGGAGTCCATTAGTTAGCGACGGTATCAAAGGGGGGGGGGAGGAGTCAAGCTGAATCTCCCTAATTTTAACGCGGAGCAGAGAGGGGTTTCGGCAAATATCACGTAATTTTTTGGGACAAAAATTAATGTAAAAATATGAGAAAATCAGATTACTTTCGAGTTTGAAGACATGTTTCATTCACAGAAACATTTCTAGACTAAAATATGTCAAAATCTGACACAATTGTGTCGCCACAAAATCTGTCGCCTTATTTTATAAACGGTTTTCCAAGAACCAGCCAAAAGAGTCTTGCCGTGTCCCCCTTTTTATATTTTTTAAGCTGTTTTTAGTTTATATTTATTTACAGCTGTCGGTAATAGCAATCAAAATACGCTGTATGCGTGTTTTGATTGCGTTGGTTGTGAGTTGACTAGTGGGACGTAGAAGCTAGTGCTAAATCAGAGCAAAGGTAAAGGAGCAGATGTTTTACTGGTTATCAGCAGATATCAAGAACCACTCTTGACATCGTGCACAAGTCTCCATGGACTGAATTAAAATGAATAATGCTCCCTATCAATTTTAGTAGTTCCCAATTAAGTACTATTTAATGTTATCTCTGTGATTCTAAATTAAGATCTAAACAGTCTGAAATACTAGTCTTTATTAGTCTTAATAAAAATAATAAAACAAATAGAGCATTTTACATAAATCAACGCATTTATCCACTAAATAAAAATTTTGGAAAGATGTTACGTGAGATTGGGTGAGGGGGTCAACACAAATCTCACGACATCTCCCCAGTGGGAAAATAGGGGTCAAAAAATCACCAAAAACGCGTCTTACGTAATTAATAGACACCTCCTAACAAATTTTTAAGTGTGAGATTACAATAACTTCTTGTATATAATTTTAAAACTGTACATTTTATTTTTATTTTCCCTTTCCGAAACTAAATAAAGGAGCTCTCCAGAGTCCTTTTAGGTTTTTTGTTCCTGTATTTGTTACCAGCTCAAACTTATGACTTTTATGCATTACCTCCATGCGATTTATTGCTCTCATATTTCAAAACCAATATTAAGACTGTCTAACGGTGTGGATTTTTTTTCGACATGAAAATGGATATTATAAAGTGGCTTTTTATTTATGGCATGGCGATGAATTATAATTACTCTGGTCCGGCATCGTCATATATTGTGAATGTTTAATTTTTAATATTGGTAATTGATTACAAAATCTTTTTTGACAGCCACGTTTTTAAAGTAGTTGGAAAAATAGTAAACATAGCTCAAGAGTTTTAAAAATAGCCAGATTGCAGCAATTTTTATGTACATTCTGAAAATATTATAGTTTATTGACTTTATTATTTTGAATAAAATGAATCATTTTTATTATTTTTTCGATATATACAGGGTGAGTCTTAAATAAGTGCAAATATTTTTAGGGGTACTATATTTTGACCCCAGAAATACGATTTTTTTGCGAAAAAAAAATTTGAAAATTGGTATTTTTTTTTTAGTTTTTATTTAAAAAACATAATTTATTGATAATATGACAACATAGGTAGTAGATTAAATTTACAAGAAAGAAAATCCAGAAAAGATCCAGTGGTTTTCAAAATTTTAGCAAAAAAATATTTTTTTTTTGGAAATTTTCAAAGTGATATCTCGGTTATTTTGGATTTATTTGAAAAATGGTGAAGACAAAATATGTTTCTTTTATCGAGATCTACCAGCACTGAAAATGTTTGTACTTATTTAAGACTCACCCTGTATAGTTTTGATAATTATATGTAAGATTATTAATTTACTGTTATTAACTTATTAGAAGACGTAGAACACGAAAATATAGGCCATTGTGGTCTTACGTTTACCGTTCTTGATGTAGGCAAAATTTCAACCATTGTGATTGTGAATTTGCTACTGTACTCCTAAGAACAAAACAAGGGTTTAACTATCATAAAAATTTGCTAAAATCAAGGGTTTGTAAAATAAATTCTCTGATAAAACCACAGTATTTATGTCCTAATATTATTATATTTTCTAAAACTACATTACTTAAAATTAATACCAATAATCACTAAAATTTTCAAAATTTTTTTGACGGTGTTTATTAACTTTCTAAGAGACTTTTAAAAATAGTAAAAATGGACAATTTTTCGATTTTTTTTTCATATGTATTGTGTCAAGTCATAGATTTTGACAAAAATGTTTGAGAAATAGTATACATTAGTAAAAATATTGTAAATTGCAGGAACACTTTAGTGTGCTTCTTGAAAATAGAGTTTTTAAAGCTTCGATAACTACAATTTAATAGTAAAGTTTGATCATCCGAGAATTTGTTGTAGCAACTAACAAATGTCAAACAAACAAATAATTTTAGAAAATTACTGCTGCCTAATTTAATCACGCACATAATATTTCGGACCCGGCTAGTCTTACTGACCCTGCAAGGGATAAGCTTGTCCTTTGTGCTTCGGTTACTCATAGATAAATTACTTAGCTAGTGTGGGGCGTTTGTTAATATTTAGCGGAAGAACTTATTACGCAAAACGGCGCTAATTATGTAAGTTGTTGACCTAGAAAACATAATTTCTGGGTCTAACAATTGACAATAAGACCATGATTGATTTATGGTAAGTTTCCTTCGAGCTCGAACCTTAATAATTTATTTCGAATGGTTGCCATGGCTTTTGATTGATTGCGATTAGAACATATATTATAACCGCTAACTTTAAATAAAAAATCAACACGATATCTTATAAATCAATGAACAGTAATAATCAGCAATAAATTATGTATTGAAATTTTTTGGCCATTTCATTGAACTCGGCGGTTAGGGAAGTAAAAAGCTACTAGAAAATTTTTATTTAAAAGTATCTTTATTCAACCAAGTTGTGGAACATGGATGAATTGTGATTAATGATTAGCCGACAACGTAGTTGACGAGAAATTCGTTTATATTTTTTAGGTTTTTTGGGGACCCGTTTGAAGGGTTATATTGAGATATAATATTACATTTTTTTTCAGAAGCCATTAATGGTAATGATTTATTTCCAACCCTAAACACGGTTCTGTAATATTTTACGCACATAGGTTTATAGAGAGTTAAACGTCATATACGTAGTTCAAAAATCTTGAAAATTGTAGGATTTGTTATAGAATGTTTTTGTTTCTTTTTCAAAAACATCGGCACGAATGGGCAGTAAACGTTTATATTTAGATTTAATTTTAAACTAGAAATTAATCACAGCATAAATCGAATCCATTAAATACATACACCTGTTATATGATACCTTTGCAAGATCAAATAAATAAGAAAAAACTTTAGCACAGAATAGGGGAAATAAAATATATGCTTTAGTTAAGAGTAGTTAAATAATAAAAAATATTTACTTTACCTTTAATAACACCCTTTGTTCCAATATTCAAAACTTACATACCAAAATAATATCAGTGCGTCTCGAACGGTAGTCTAAAATCTATTACCTAATAGCCAGTATCTCTGTTCGTTGTGTGATTTCCCTTTCCCTAGTTTGAGAAAATATTTAAAAAATCAATAATTATTTATGTATACAGAGTGTCTTAAAACTGAATGTTTTGAATTTAAAGAAATAATGTCTTTATTTTAAATAGGCGGGTCACCTCAGTTTTCAAAGAAATCGAAAAGTTTAATGAGTTTTTCCCACAAATAAACAATATAACCTCCACATAAATAAGAATATGGAGTGGTTTAATTTTTAATATATAACCAACCCTTTTTTTATCCCGACAAAAATATTAAAAATAAATATTGATTCCCGCAGCCCAACTTAGTTTTTTTGCAAGATTTATTATGCTTATCGCGAGCCGTTGTTTTTTAATTAAAAATAGAACAATCAAGATGGGTTATTTATATGT